GTAGTTCAGTTTTTTAGTGTTTAAGTTCAGTTCAGTTTAGCTCAGTTCAGTGTGGTTTAAAATCATTACTGAGAGTCCAAACGCTGAAGAGCAAATTCATCGATGGGTAGCTCTACCGATCCATAACCACGTAGAAGCGACAGCAGAGAGGGAAAAAAACACCGATAGGCGAGTGAAGAAAAGAAAACCTTAAGAGAAACCAGACTCCGTTGGGCTCGACCATTTTAATTTCTGCCCTGGCCAAACGTTTTGTGCAGCGCTGCAGTCTTAGCGGTGGAGGCTGGAAGCTGGCCTCAGCAAAGACTCGTCTGTCCCTGGAATCAGTCTTATGTTCTCCACTCCTCCATGACCAGCGAAGCAGCTGCTCAGGATACGGCCTGGTCCAGGATATGGAAACCTTGGGATCATCTCGTCGCTGGTCTTGGATCCAATCAGTGACTCCACATAGTCTGAGGGCCTCGGGATGAGTATCCCCTTGTTGATATAATATATAATATGATAATAATATGTTTGGTGAAAAAGATCCCTAATGTCATCACCATCATACTATCTTAAATCTGAATCTAACACTTTTTGTATTAATGCAATCATTGAAAGGTTCTGTATATTTCATAGTTTAAATGACTAGAAATTCATGTTCTTTGTCGCCTCTGTCAGATTAATTTAGCTATTTAATATTTGTTGATGAATTGTTGGTCATGTGAAAAGGTAATCTGTAGTCTGCTTGTGTTTTAAGTGTTAGAAAAATATTGTTAAAAGAATCTTAGTGTTAAAAAAATCTCATTTGCTGTTTAGTGTCTTATGGTGTAGCCAATAAGTAATAAAGTGAAAAGTTGGGAGGTTGAAAAAAAAGTTTTTCCCTTCTAAATTTGCATCCTGTCCTCAAGAATCTTTCATAAGAGGGAAAAGTATCAAATTTCTACTTTCTAATCAAATGTATGACTGTTGTTACTGTTTTCAGTAATGTGCTAACTATATACCACTCATAACATCTCAAAAATTGTGGGTTTCATGACCATTTACCAAGGAAAAACCTGACAGTTCTGACAGTACAATATATTAACAGTCCAATAAAAATGTAAGGTGGTCCAAGAACAATCTACGAATCCCCTGCTAAACGTTCCTCAAGAGGAACTTTTGGGGTTTAAAGGTCATAAACTATGAGCACTTTAAAATATGAAGCATGAATAAAAAACCTCACAGTCCTGCAAGTTCAAACACATTCGGTTGGAAACGATAAATGCTGCCGAACTGACCACATAATTGCTGTCGTGTTCCCATAGAGGTTTGCAGCAGAGGGAAAGAGACATGCAGAAGCCATTAGCTCACTGACAGACATCATCGCTGAGATCCCTCCACAGTCCTTGAGAACACACACGCATATATACAACAAAACAAGCAGTGTCCATCAGCCAGCTAATGTACTACACCCTTTTCTATGACGCCTTTTCTGACATCAGATGAACCACGACATTATATTTTCCATTGGGATAAAATAACCTCCTTTTAGAGAACACAGGCATCATTTGAAGTCATTCCAACTTAAATTTCACCACCACCCAACCCTTTTCAGATCTTCTATGTATTCCAGTCTGATTGGTGGCTCAGTCAGTATTGTATATGTCTTTGAGAAGAAAATGCATCAAGAATGGATTACAATTATGTTTGGACTCTGAACATGATGACAAAATTATTTCCAACAACACTTGGACGAAACATTTTCCCTAAGGTCTAATTTTATAGGGCACTGTGCATAAACCGACAAAATTCAGCATCAGATGGGACAATACTGACATCTACTGGCAGATTATGTTCTGCAAGGATATACGAGTCTGGTAATTCTATACAAATTAAAACATAATCAGTCAGTAAATATTGTTTAATGGTACTTTATTGCTTTAAATAACCTAAAATGCCAAAAATGGATGAAAATATATCAGGCCATTAGTCAGGGGGGATTCAGGTGGTTTGAAAGAACTAACCCCCACTGAAAAAGGTCCAGAATTTGCCATTGGTGCAGAATTTTTGCCTCTATTTTCTCATTTATCTTATTTTGACTGATACGCCATCATAAATTGTGTAAATAACCCATCAAATGTTTTAAGACCATGCAGAATATGACGTAAGTGAAGTCATGTTTTAATTGTTTTTTTAATTTAAATGGCCAAATTCTAACTGAGGAAAGTTGAATGTGCTGTCCAGCTTGTTATTTGTCTAATAAATGACAAGAGGCTACTTTTTTGTTATCTATATATCTTTATTATTAACCTTTAGGAAATATATTCTTACATCAAAAATTGTATTTTGATGACCATCCATCAAGCTAATCCAGCTAAATATAGTGCTTAAAATGTCACTTAATAGAGTATTCAAACTTCATAACACTGTAAAAAAATGCAGGGTTCCACACAATTCATTTATGTTGTCCCAACACAAATCGATTAAGTTAACACTTTTAACAAATTTATGTGGATTGAACATAAAAAAATAAGTTGTCCCAATGAAATCCCAAGAATTGTTGTTTCAGCTTATTTGAATTAAGTGGTTTGAACAAGTAAAACATTTTTTTTAAGTGAATTAAATAGAAAATGAGGTGAATGACTGCAAAAAAGACTTTTTGAGAAAAATGAACCACCCCTTTCTGCAGGCTGGCTACAGGCCTGTATATACTCATCGTTTACCAGAAAATGTATATTTATGCAAAAATCAATATTCTCCTTATGATATGCCCTTATTAATATATTTAAAAGAATGTGATCTCACAAAAATGTATTACATTTTACATTTGTTAAAGATAAATGTTTAACCTACTAAATTGGTTAAATCTAGAAAGATATTGGCAAATATAAACAGTATATTTAAATCACAATATTTATATTTTTGGGCGGCACTGTAGTACTTAAATATTTTAACTAGTCAATACTTAATTCTATTATTTAAATCTAAATAGGTCTGAATTCTATTTCAGTATATGAGATATTGTTTGAGTGAATGACATTTCAGTTGGTGTCTTCAGGAAAACTAGCATATTTTTTCCCTTTAAAACATATATAAATAAAAACATTAAATAAAAACACAAAAACATTAAAGCTACATTACCTTTGTAATCATGTTAAACTTATAAACCCCTTTTCATTTTTGACCCCTATACACTAGCTGACAAAAGTCTTGTCGTCAATGCCAGTTGTAAGAGCAACAAATAATAACTTGACTTCTAGTTGATCATTTGAAAAAGTGGCAGAAGGTAGATTTTCCAGATGAATCATCTGTTGAACTGCATCCCATTCATCACAAATACTGCAGAAGACCTATTGGAACCTGTATAAACCCAAGATTCTCACAGAAATCAGTCAAGTTTGGTGAAGGAAAAATCATGATTTGAGGTTAAGTTCAGTATGGGAGCGTGCATAAGATCTGCAGAGTGGATGGCAACATCAACAGCCTGACGGAACAAGACATTTGTGCTGCCCATAACATTACAAACCACAGGAGAGGACAAATTCTTCAGCAGGATAGCACTCTTTATACTTCAGACTCCACATCAAATTTCCTGAAAGCGAAGAAGGTCAAGGTGCTCCAGGATTGGCCAACCCAGTCACCAGACATGAACATTATTGAGCATGTCTGGGGTAAGATGAAGAAGGAGGCATTGAAGATAAATCCAAAGAATCTGATGAACTCTGGGAGTCCTGCAAGAACGCTTGCTTTGCCATTTCAGATGACTTTATTAATAAGTTATTTGAGTCATTGCAGAGATGTATGGATGCAGTCCTCCAAGCTCATAGAAGTCATACACAATATTAATTATTTTTCCACTGCATCATGCGTTTAAATTCTATACTGTACATCATTTCTGTTAAGTGACAAGACTTTGTCAAAGCAAAATCAGACCTTACTGTCCTAATTAGATAATTAATAGTCAAGGCATGATCATGTTTTATTTTGGTAAAAATAAGTGTAATCTAGAGGCCTTTGCCTTTCATATAAGCCACTTAAGATACCATCTGATCAACTAGAAGTCAAGTTATTGTATTGTTCCTAAAACTTGGATAGGCGACAAGACTTTTGTCAGGTAGTATACATTATAAATCTTTCCATCTTAATTTTTCATAAATTTTCTATAGACTACAAAATGTTCAATATAATAATAATAATAATAATAATCACATTGTAAACTATCATGTGATTTCAGACATGAGGAAGTTTTATCAGACATACAAAACATGTTCAGAGCTGCAACCAAATACTCTCTGCAAACAAATAACTCGGTGACACAGGAAAGTTTATGTAAATGACTTTTATAAACATATTTACAACAGGCCAGGTAGGATGATAAAGACAACAAATTAAAAGAGCAAGAGAATGTGTGTGTGATAACAAGTAATAATTCCTAGTTTAGTGCAGCTCTAACCCACAGTCTGGCTAATTGTTGTTGGGTAAAATATTTCACAGTATACAGATCATAAACAATATGAATGCTTCCCAAGCGTATTTTAGCGAATGTTTCTTTTGGTATGTTGTATACGAGAACATCTTCACAGTTAACAGTTGTTTCAGCGCATATACCTCTGGTAAAATTAACAATCAGCCATTAAATCTCTGGCTAACCCACTAAAGCTACTCCCCAAAGCTCAAATCACTGCAGTAGTTTGTTTATTTGTGCCGTTTTCATGCTATATGTGTCCATTCGCTATATGTACATTTTAATTCTTGTTTTTTTTTTTTTACATTAAATAAATTTCAGTCGGTTTGGCTGGTCATGTGGACTAAATGTACATTTTTTAAGGTTACTTCAAGACTAAATTTTTTTTCAAATGACAACATGTTTGTTTTTAATTCCTAAACTTCCCTACTGAGGTAAATAAAGTAATTGTTTTTATTTTTAAAGTACAGATGTTAAGGTTTGGGTTGAAGTGACATGAGTATTGACGAACTTTTCAATTTAAAACTAAAAGAGGATACTTCACCCAAAAATGAAAATTCTGTCAATATTTACTCAGTTTTTTTTTTTTTTTAATTTCTGTTATTTTTTACTTTGCTTGTTCCAATCGTATCTGAGCTTCTTCTCCCTTTGAACAGAAATTAAGACATGTTGAAGAAAGCTGGAAACCTCTATCCATTGACTTCCATAGTATATGTTTTTCCTACTACGGATGTCAATGGTTACAGGTTTTCAGCTTTCTTAAAATATCTTCTATAGTGTTCAACAGAAGAAAGTTACTCATAAAGGTTTATAACCACTTGAGGATGAGTAAATAGCGAATAAATTTCATTTTGAGGTGAACTACACCTTTAAACCTACGGATATCATATGTATAAGGAAGACAAAAAGGCCAAACAGGCATTTAATGCCTTCAAAATCCATCATGTATTTGTTATTAAAGCTTCATTTGTGGGTTTGCATGATGAATCAGACACAATGTGATCACATATTGATCAGATACGGCACTATTGGTGCTGTCCTGAGGTCACATTGCAAAAGCACACAGCTTCAAGATCTTCTTTACCGCTTGTTTCTATTCAAGCCAATCAAACCAAGATCACCAGTGTTCTCGGATAAAGCAACGATCTAAACCCTTTGGTTCTACAGCCTGACAATAACCAGCAAAGGTAAAACAACCCAGTGGTTTCCTCCATCAGTTCAAGAAGGATATTGAATCAACATTTCCCCCAAACCGTCTGATTGGAGGAGATGGGTGTGTGTTACCGTGCCGTGACCATCCACAGGCCCAGAGCCACATTTGCTGCTAGAAGAGCACTGCCTCCCAGTAGAAAAAAGAAGCCGATCAGCTCTCGGTTGTTCCTCTCCTGGATAACGGAGCTCAGCGTGGCTTCGAGGAAGGCTGTGAGCATCCATTGACCGTCCAGAGCGAAACATGGAACTGCATTTACCACTGCAAGAGCCCCGGACAGTGAGACCAGGTATCTCAGAAACACAAGAAGTTAAGGATAGTAGAGTAATACGTTTTTGGCAAAACATATGGTCGAAATTTATAACTAAAGAAAATAAATAAGTATTGGACATGACATGTTTTTTCCTGGGAATAATATTTCTAAAGGAGCTGTTGATATGGTATTGGACCAGATTTTGGTAAAAAACCCAAAAATACAAACATAAAAATAAAATAAAACAAAACAAAACTGAACATTTTCTGAAAGTACTGAACTACTAAAATGTAATACTTTATAAAAAAGGTTTTTTTTTGGTGATGCCAGCTTAAAGATGCCTCTCATATAGAGAATGAAGTCACACAAATTGCTCGGGTATGATTTTTCCACAGATTTTAACAGTGTAAAAAAATCTTGATGGTTCTGTGTGTTTTGTCAGTCAAATCTTTATTTTGTATTTTACATTGGATTCAAGTCTCCCAGATCAGTACAATTAAGCCGTTCAGGCCATAAAACACATATTGGTGGCTGGGGTTTTGAGTCAGTATTTCATAGACCCAAAATGAGTGGCTATGTTAGGTGACAGCGCCGAGCCAATCTAGCCACTGATGTGGCGTAACAGATAAATCTCTGAAAAAATGTCACAACCTTGGACATATTTGATGAATGAAATCCAGTGCTTACAATAGTTCTTAGAAATGAATGGAGTTGTAACATCTTGTTTTATTGATTATGCCTATTTTTCCAAGACGTAAAATAAGTCTTTTTAAACAACCAAAGAAATACGATGGCAAAAAGATGGCAGCTTAAATATGCCTGCCTTTTTTCACAGACTTCAACAGAGTGTAAAAATCTTGATGGTTCTGAGGGTTTTGTCTGGCAAAACTGATCTTTATTTTGTATTTTCTATTGGATTAAGATCAGGTGATTGGCTGGGCCATTCTACAGCTTGATTTTTTTTTCTCTGAAAGCATTTGAGTTTCCATGGCTGTGTTTTGGATCATTGACTTGCTGAAATATCCACTGTGGTGTAATCTTCATCATAATGCTAATATACATGTTGAACTGAAGCTGCTAATGTTAATTTACAATGATGAAGGGCAGAGGCTTGCTGAGGAACTACTGAGAGAATTCAGCTGCTGTCTGGGGTCTCTTTTACATCTGCCTTTCTTCATGTGTTCAATAACTTCCCTACATCATTACATTAGAAAAGTTATTGCAAATGAAACAAATACAAATTACATTTCAACTAAATTTTTATATTTTTATGTTTCTGTTGATTTATTTATTTTTTTGATTATTCAGATTAAATGACATTCAACATGTTGTTATGGAACCAATTTAAGCGTGGGTGTTTAGTTCGGCTCATTGAAGTCAGATATTGACTTTAATCCTCTCCTTTTCTAAACAACTTTTATAAAACAGCCCCCAGGCCTGTAGCTAGGGGCGTTTCAGGTGGTTCAAAAAACCCACCCCTCACTGACAAGGGTCCAGAATTTTATCCCATACATGAGCTCATTTGACCTATTTTGATAATGAAATTAACCCATCGAAAAAGAACTTAAGACCAAGCGGAATCCTCTGTTGGCTGTCGCTTCAGTGTGACTTCAGCTATTCCATTTTGGCCAATGCAAACATGAGTTATTTTTATGAGCTCAACATCCAGCTGTGCAAGAAAACACACAATCTGATGTAAGTGTAGTCTTCTGTTAAGATATTGTTTTTAAATAGAGAAAACATTTTACAAGTAACCTTTATTGTAAATCTTGGACCTTATTCTTGAAACAAAAAATTACCAATAAAAAGGTGTGAAGCACCAAAAACGGTACATGTTAAAATTCTGTTAAATACATTATTGACTGTTGTTGTTATCCATGAATTTTCAAATGTTTTTTTTTTGAATATAAAAATTGTGAAGCTCTATATTACTATTATTATTATTATTGTATTTATATTATTATTTAAATGGACAAGTTCTGACAGAGGAAAGTCGAATGTGCTGGCCAGTTTGTTATTTGCCTAATAAATAACAATAGGCTACAGTTTCTAATTTATAACTTTAACAGATTACTATTTTTTTTCTAATGATATATGATGTCATGTATTTGTATTTTAAAAATAAGTATTTTTTCACATTTATTTATTCTAAATCTTTAGGAAATATATTTGGTACTTCAAAAAGTGTGGTTATACTGACCATCCAACAAGCCAATTCAGCTAAAAATAGAGCTTAATTTTTTCTATTTAAAGTTTTTATATTTCTTTCAAATAAATGCAATGTAAACAATAATAACTGAAAATAATAACAATAATTGATATTTCAAAAATGAAGCTTTTCAAAAATGTATTAATATTTTATGAATATTTCTAAACCTGACTGAAAATAAATCAGACACACTGAATCAGCGAATCATTACTGATTTAACAGCTGAATCTCTCACTGAAGCGCAACTCATTTATTACTTATGTTTCATACCAAAGGGAACCAAGATCTACTACTATGATAAATACTGCAATGCGATTTAAATATTGATGGTCTTATTCCAACTGGTGACCAAAAATCTAAAAATATAAATTGTTCATGTTTTTCGCGTGAATAGTGAATCAACAAAATATGGAGCCTGTAATATTGTGGTAAATATTGATTGAAAGTTGATAATTATGTAAATGCTGACTGCATTTGAAGGATACTTGCAGAAGGTTTCCAGCATGACAGGCAAGTCTGGATGAAGAAAGCCCAGCCGAGGAACAAAATTGGTTAGACTCACTAAAATAAAAAAAAAATAAAAAAAAATTATATATATACATATACACATTATATATATATATATATATATATATATATATATATATATATATATATATACATATATATACATACATACATTTTATATGCAGGATCATATGAATGCAAAAAAAAAAAAAAAAAAAAAAAAAACAGAAGGTCATTTTTCTTACCTGAATACTGTAGGTGTGAAGAGTATCCGACAAAGAGCATGTCTGTTTGTGGAGGATGTTTGACCCGGATCAATCGGGTCTGGTTCTCCAGAGAAGGGATTAAACACAAGCTTGGGGTGAAGTCTGTTTGACAGTCTGTGTTGGTGTGACATGTACGACTCGCTTCAATGGTCTTTCTCACCGGCAGGCAGGCAAACTACAAAAAATAAAATAAAATAAAATAAAATACTCTTTTCCATTGCTATTGTTAGATGAACTGGTGAATGTCAATAATGTGAAAATAGCATCTCTGTTTTCATTTCAAATATTACTGGTTATCTTTTTCAGATATGCAAAGGCTCCAACAGCAAGTTTTACATATTCAGTTTTAACAGACAGTGTTGAGGAATAACACAGTATTATCTGCCATTTCAAGTTTATATACCAGTAATAATAACTGAAACAAACAGAATTGACTAATCTAAGCTTTATGAAAGTTCTACTTTAAATAAAAAAGTTTGTGTGCAAGTCAGAAAGAGTTTGTCTTACTAATTTGCTCTCCACGTTGTTACTGTAAGAGAAGCAGAGGTCTGTCAAGCTGTTGTTCCCACAGCACTCCATAGTGCCATCCAGACGCTTGAATGCTGAGTGAAAGGAAAATATAAATCAGCTAACACAGGGTTTCAGCAGGTTTCAGCGAGTTAAATATTCCTTTTTAAGACATTTTAAGACCATTATGAATAAAATGTTATTTTATTTTCCATACAGGGCTAAATGCTAAGGACCAGTTGGAAAAGATTTGCCCTAGCACACTTTATTTTTTTATTTAAGAAATTTAATAATAATAATCATTTAATAATTAAACATTTTAATATTTTAGTTAATTATGACCAAAATAATTTTAAATATTGTGTCAAATCAAGCAAGCTCTAGTTGTATTAATACAATTTTTTCAACATGAACTGTCTTTAAAAAAAGATAAAACAAGTGTTGTTGTAAGGAAAATAATTAAACCATTACGGTAAACAGAGTTAAAAATTACATTCATAAATAAAAATTTAAAGGTTTTATTAAGATGGATTGTTAGTGAATGGATGGGTGATAATGGCCAGATTGGGTAGCTTTACATGAACAAATGAAAATTAAGACCTGTTCAAAAAAGATTTAGAACCTACAACACAATATTTTATTAAATGCTAGACTTTTATGATTTTGAGATTTAAGACTTTTTAAGACTCCAAGGACACCCTGTTACATATATTTGGAATTAATTTGGAATGTCTATTTTTAGTCCGATTAAAATGTTAATGTCTGAAAGTATTGTCTTATGCTTTTATTTGATCAAATATTCAGTAAAAACTAATATTTTGAAACATTATTACAATTAAAAATGTCAGTACTTTTATTTATTTTAAATAGTTTTTTCTGTGGTAAAAGGAATCATTTGGTCAAGCATATTTTGGGGATTCTTTGATGAAGAGAAAGAACAACATTTATTTTAAAAAAATAAATCACTTTTTGAATTAATTTAATGCATCTTCATTAAATAAAAGCGGTAATTTTCAATAAAAATCTTGATACCAATGTTTTTTTGAAGAAAGAACTAAATTCCAAACAAAATCAGTCCAGAATGAACTTTGTCTGGAGTTTGTTTTAGAGCACAGAAGCTTTCTGAAAATAAAAGTTTGCTTCAGTTGGTAAACATATTGGGACTAATTTTCTGTGGTCATGATGTTATACTGCTTCAACTTTTTTTGTTCACCAATTTTTTTCTGATTTATATTTCTGGTCTGTTGAGGTCAGATGTCGCCGGTTAAAAAGAGAACACCAAAGTGCAGCTTTATCATAGAATAAAAATATATTCAAACTGAAAACAACACATGCACTTCTTTTTCATGTTTAATGCTATAAAGCTGCTTGTTTTAAAGCAGAGATGGAGTAGGATCCGTAGCCAAAGTATGCCCATTGTACCCTTTGATTTAGCCCAGCTTTCCATCTGAGAAAAGAGTGAGAATGATGGAGAGTGTTTGGAGCATTTTATTGCCACGAAAAAACTAAGTGAAATTAAATGTTTAAATTAAATGGTGTAAATGAATCTGATGTTTAAGATGTAAATACTGTCACTCGATAGAGGACTATGCAGAAGAAATGCAAATCAAGGCAGGAACTAGTGTAAAATATAATGTGTAAGTTAATATAAAGCAATGTTTTCTAGTTATTTTAAAATTTAATTAAATAAATTAGGAATCTACTTACTGCAAGTATATTTACCGTCAGCCCACTAGCATCAATAAAAAATATTCAGTCAGACAGTTACCTCAGGAACATGGTTGGTGTTTGGTTATTTACTAGCAGTTTACCATTGCAACCATAACTTCAAACTTCATTTTACTCGTAAGAAAAAAACTGAAAAAAGAGCTTCTGGACTTTATACGAGATAAGTACCTCTTCCTTGCGTGTAGCTGAGATGGAGTTTGGCAGTGTGGACGCAGTAGCCTGTCTGAGGATTATGGGATAGATGCTGAACGCAGCTGTGCCAGTCCTGTACACCCCGAACTGTACAGTCTTCCAGCTGTGTGATCAGATCACCTAAAAATAGCCCACGAGGTCCACTCGAGGGAGAACCCTGCAAAAAAAAAACAACAACTAAGGATCCAGTCAGAGCATTAAATTGGAGGAAGATAAAGATAAACTGACCTCCACCACTTCAGTGACCAGCGCTCCTGCTCCGGTGTAATAGAAGGGAAACAGAAAGATGGGCAGCAAGAACAGGAAGCTGAGAGCCACAACACACAGCATGAAGTTGTGCCAGACTCCTGGAGAAAAACAACACAGAAAACTGACTTTTTATAAAATGTGACTGAGAGATAAATGTCTGGGGTTTCAAATGAAGTGTGTTTTATGAATTTCAAATGCAAGGTTGTGTTTGTATAATGTGTGGTTTAAGAAGTCTTACCAGCGCAGAATATTCTGAGCTGCTGGACTGGAGAGATGAGGTTCAGATGTGTGGTGAAGAGATCCACAAACGCTCCGGGATAAATCACAAACATGAACATGCCAAAACCATTCAGCCTCACCTGCTCCCTGAGGAACACATGCAGAAACTAATATTTGCATGTTAAAGTAAAACAAGCTGCTTTACAACTATTCATTCCTGCAATGGCAATGCTTGACTGTCATCACCCATTATTACTTCAGTTTTAGTTCATCTTCTGTTCAAGAAACATTTCTTTATTTCCTTCCTTGGGCTAAGTCCCTTATTTATCAGGGGTCGCCACAGCTGAATGAACCGCCAACTATTCCTGTTTTATGCAGCAGATGGCCTTCCCGCCACAAAGCAGTATTAGGAAACACCCATACACTCTTGCATTCACACACTCACTCATACACTACGGCCAATTTAGTTAATCTAATTCATGTATAGCGCATGTCTTTGGACTGTGGGGTAAATTAGACCATCAGAAAGAAACCCACACGAACACAGGGAGAGAAACATTTCTTTGTTTTCGTGAGTTGTGGTGCTTAATATTTTTCTTGCACTGTCACACAACTTCTTAAAGAACTCATTCAATCTTACCTGCTCCCAAAGACAAACATGCAGAAATAAACATTTACACTACATGTAAGGCTTTCCAATAGAACAGCCCACTTTCGCAGCAATTTACGTAGATTTCACGCAGACTTCAGAGAATTTTACTATTCAAATTAGGTAAGATTCGAGTCTGTGACCCAGAACTTCTGATAATACTTTAAAATGACTCACTTTGTTTTCTCTTACAAATGTGGATGCAAACTTTAAAGTAATGTAAATATAAATATGGGACACAACAAACAAACAATAGTTGACATTAGAACTCTTCAGAAAACAGACAAAATATTTGCATTAATGCAAAAGTTTTCTTCTGTGCAGATTTAAATACTTGATTTGACAATCACTCATCCTATTTTTACTCCATTAAGGGCACATTTTCATCTTAAAGCTACAGTGCGTCATTTCTGCACCATGCTTCGTTTTCCAATGTTAAAAACAAATGATCCTATCTCAGTTTAAAATGGGACAAGTGTTGACATATTTAGAGCTGCTGCTGCTGACAGAAATACCACCGATCAGAAAGATGATCAGTTACCTCAGTGCTGCCACCCCATGGCCAAACTCATGTATGACTCCACTGACCAAGATAGCGATGAAAAAATAGGCCAGTTGACTGACAGGAAGATTTACACCAGGCACCTGATAATACAGCAAAAGACATGACTGTAATATTCAGGGTTTTACACTATCATCATTTCTGGCAGAAATACAACAGCATCCTCTTCTGATTTCTGTCAACTGCTTCTGTACTACTCACCACCACTTGCAAAACCTGTTCGTGGGACCCGTCCGGTGTGTCTGCCATCATCTGATGCAGAGTCTGCAGTAATGTTTTGCTCAGGAGAACAACTGAGCCAAACATCGCCAAAACCCCGAACACCATACCAGCACTGAACCTGAAAAATCATATAAAAACACACTGTTATATACAGTTGAAGTCATTATTAGGGTGGCTAATAAAAAAAAATCTATTATTTCCCAAATGATCTTTAAAAGAGCAAGGAATTTTTCACAGTATTTCCTATAATATTTTTTTTCTTCTGGATAAAGTCTTACTTGCTTCATTTAGGCTAGTATAAAAGCAGTTTTTAATTTTTTCAAAAACATTTTAAGGTCAATATTATTAATTTTTTTGATAGTCTACAGCACAAACCATCATTAATATTAGTATCTTGAAAAATTTCTAGTCAAATTTTATGTACTGACATCATGGCGGATAAACGCAATCAGTTATTATAAATTGCTTATTAAAACTATTATGTTTAGAAATGTGCTGAAAAATCTTCTTTCCAATAAACAAAAATTGGGGGAAAAACAGGTGGTTGGGGGGGGGTTCGGCTAATAATTTATGAGGGACTTTTACTGTATTTATGTATTTATTCTTTGTAATATACTTTTTGCATAGGGATCAAAGACATGTTGGAGTTAAATTTACAATGATTCCTATTCATAAAGAATATATTAAATAAAAGTATAGTGTCTACTTTAATGTTTCAAACAATTTATGTGTTGGGAAAAAAGTCAATATACGGGTGAAATAATGTTCCATTATTATTCAGGATAAAATATATATTAATGTTACAATGAAAAAACATACTTTAACCTGTTCTTATTTTAATAAATAATAAACAAAAAAGCATTAAAAGATCATAGATCTGGTGCTTTTTAAGTTGGTGGTAAAGTACAAATATCAAATATTTAAAATCAGAGTTAATGGCAATTTGGGGCTGCATATATATATATATATATATATATATATGCAGCCCCAAATTGCCATATATATATATACTATTCATTTATAAAATAATCACTATGTTATTTGACATTTGATTTTTCAATTTCTCAACCTGAATACTGTTAGACGCCATGGAAAACCGCTAAGCACTTTTCTTTCATTTTTTTTTTTGCTCTGTCGTATTTATATATGATTGTAGTTTTTTACATTTTATGTAGATGCACTGCATAGAAACAGACTTGATCACACCGGTACATCTAATGTGAATATTTTTTTCCAAATAGAGCTATTTAAATCATATTCCAATCACAACATATATCACAGCAAAACAAAATATCGCAATGTCAGATTTTCCCAATATCGCACAGCCCTAATATATATTTGGAATATACTTTTTTTGCAACAGTGAATGACTTTTAGAGGCTTTCCTCTGCAAATAAAGTTAAAGTTGTTGTTTTTTTTATGGTTGAAACTTCTTTTTGTCTTTGACCCAAAATATACACAGACTTTTGCATACACAAACCTTTATAGATTTTAATAACATCTTTTAACATTTACAACATTTAAAAACCTTCAGTATATTTTCAGGTTTTATTTTTTAAAATCTACTATGATTATTGACACAGTGAAGGAGAATAATGTGTCTGTGAATAATGTGTTGGTAAGTGTTTGGAGGATGGTTACCCATAATGCCCTGCTGTAACCAATGCACTCATCATAAGCAGCTTAGGATTTTTTTAATGAGTAGAGCTTTATGTCCTGAACATTTTTTATAAATATTATCACAGTGGATTTAATATGGCAACAGCCACTCGGATGGAAAGCAAAGCAGAGAAAGCATGAAAGGTTTACACCTGTTATATGTACTGCTGCAATTTATAGCAATAAGCATTTAAGTACTCCAAAAAAGCATCACTGTCATCTAAATATTCAGTATAAGTGATATGAGGACAGTTATTAATAATCATACCAGATGTAGAGAAAGTGAGGGTTGAAATGAGCACATCTGGCAAACAGACGGTTGAAGATGCCCGTGTGCCACTTGATATGGAAGGGAGATAGTGTGAATCCATTCGAGGATAACCATGATTCATAGCGGTTCTTTACCGAACTGGATGACTGAAGGTGAAACAGACAGAAGGAGATGTTATTATTTGATAGAAGATAGAGTAGGTTATGACAGAATTATTAAACAGTGCTTTAGTTTAATAATATCTCATTTGAAACTTGTAGAAAAAACATGTATATAATATTTTTATGAAACAAAACACACCACAGCTGATGGAAATGCTGTTTACAAGATGCCAAGATCTGGCCGAAGCCATTTTTACTTAAAACTTCTACATTAAATACATTAGTATTATTATATGGTATTAATGCAAGTAAATAGAGTAAAAAAACTAATAGTAGTGAACATATTTCCTTTGTTGACTGATTAGATTAAAATGTTTTTTTTTTTTCTAAAATGTTGTGTTTAGATGTGCAAATGATGAATTATTTCATTTTATATGCACTATATTTAGCCTGAAGAGCAAATCTGTGCGTGATAGTTTTTATCCTGTCATTGACTTTTGAATAAGACCATATTTTAAATACTATTGATAGCTAGTATGTAATAATAAATCTATACATAGTTAAACTAGCACAAAATGTTAACAATATAACTATTACAACAAACTGTGCAATAGTTATTTAAGTATTTATTTATTTCCTTCTGTTATTTGTTATTGGGTTATTTATTCATTCATTTTCTTTTCGGCTTAGTCCCTTTATTAATCTGTCACCACAGTGGAATGAACCACCAATTTATCCAGCAAATGTTTTAAGCAGCGGATGCCCTTCCAGCTGCAACTCATCTCTGGGAAACATCCATACACACTTCTTTACACTAATACACTACAGACAATTTAGCTTACCCAATTCACCTGTACTGCATGTCTTTGGACTGTGGGGGAAAACCACCTAACGCTGGGAGAACTTGAATGAATGAAGAAAGTTAACATGCGTAATGGATGTGACCAAAAAAAGTCTGCTAGTTTACAGTAATGTAATGTTTATTCATATAGCGCATTTATTGTTTATATGGCCATACACCCAAAGCGCTTCACAATCATAAGTGGGGTCTCTTCACACCACCACCAGTGTGCAGCATCCACTTGGATGATGTGACGGCAGCCACAGGACAACGGCGCCAGTGCGCTCAACACACACCAGCTATTGGGGTAGTGGAGAGACAGTGATGGAGACAATTCGGTGGATAGGGATGATTGATTTGGTTTCCCAGAGATGTACAGTATACAATGCTGTGAATTAAACTGCAAAACCCAAAAGGAACAATGCTAATCTAAAGAATAAGAGTCGGCTCATTATAAAACAAAAATGATTGATTTTAATTTATTTTACATTTTTGTATTTATGAGGAGAAAACTTTGTTATAGATGTGACAGATGTGAAATTCCCACTTGTATTACTTTGGTAAATTAAATTAAATTGTTTGAGGCATTTTTAAAGTATTTTACAGTCCTGTAAAACACAAGCCTACACACACACACACACACACACACACACACACACACACACACACACACACACACACACACACACACACACACACAAACATAAAAAAGAAGAAAAAAAAAACATAGAAAGGGTTTCGCTATGTTAGTTATTTTTTTTCATGGCAAGGTTGACATTTGCATGGAACTGCTCATATTTGTATTTTAAACGTGAATGATATGTTCATACATACCTGGTTTGATATAACATTTAACTTTGGCTTTACAGTTGATTGTATATTCGCACATATATACATTCTCCTCAAAAATATAACTTTATAAAAGTATTCTTTGCTAACACTAAATATTAAAATCATACTAACAGCCAACGGCTTTTATAGTACAACATTGTACACAGTCAAATAAATATGACTCATTTTGTTTTGAAGTCAAACTTGCATGTGACTTTAGACCGAATATTCAAAGTACCATGGTGAATATAGGGAGCAGGCCACATGTTGTCACTGATTAAACGCGTGAATATAAAACCAACTTTACCTCAATTACAGATATAAATGAAATATACAACGATATGTAAATATGGTAACAATCTTGTACTATAGCATTATTTTAGTGCGGAAGTTTGCTTATATCAATAGACAAAAGAATTATATTCGCGATAGAAATAATCAATAAGGAGGGATTATTTTAAAGAGAAAATATCGTTTTGTTCTGTATGTATACTACTTTACACGTTAACTGGAGTCTGTGTGGTTTAATGTTGAGATCCGCCTACCCGCAGCAGCGTATCCGCCAGATACACGGTACACCAGCCGCCCATCACACACACCACCACCGCTATGGGGATCATGGCACACCGGGCTGCATGCGTCTAAAACACACACCAATTCCAGGGCAATTTCAATTGTCCAGCACGGCTCTGCACATCCACTGTGTACAAAACACCAGTGGAAGCCGTCGCTTCCGCGTGTGCGTGGGTGACGTTGTCAAAACGCAGTACTACTAATCGAGGCAGACTGTTTACTTTGGCCGAAAACAAAGTGGCTGGTAGCAGAGCAATCGAACGCGGAGACTCGTTTTCACGAACCGGTTCTTTTGAACAACTTGCCAATAAAACGATTTAGTGATTATTTCCTCCATCGCGTTTTATTTAATTTCACCTAAAAATAATTGATTAGTTTATTCCATCTAGGCCGGTGATCTCAAACTCAATTCCTAGGGCCACAGCTCTGCATAATTTTGCTTCAACAACCTCCAACTCACACCTGCTTAATAGTCTAATAGTCTTGAACACCTTGATTAGTTGGATCAGCTGTGTTTGACTTGAGTTGGAGCAAACTGTGCAGAAATGCGGCCCTCCAGGAATTGGCCCATGATCTAGGCCAGTGGTTCCCAAAGTGGTGGTCGATCGGGACCCCTTGGGGGGTCGCGGAACAATGACAGGGGGTCGTTTGGTGATTTCAAAAAGTCAAATTTTATCAAACAATTAGAATTATCTACTGCAATAGATTGATTTTAAAGCACCAGGTTAAACCTTTATGGCACTCAAATACATAAAAAAATAAATACAGACCACAACTGATCATGGAGGATAATGTCCAAGTGGCAGACTCCAAAATTAAGCCAAGAATACTTGTGCTGTAACCATTGTGCCCACCAGTCTTATTATGTGAAGTTAATAATAAATTAAACAAATAAATAAATGACTATAAAATATGTTAGACTGTTGCACTTTTTTATGCTTATGTTTTGGCCTATTATTGTGTGTGCAGGGTTTGTATATTTACAGCATACCCACCTCCGAGAACAATGGGGATCACAAGCCACTGGCATTGTTATTTTGGGGGTTGTGGGCGGAAATGTTTGGGAACCCTTGATCTAGGCCTATAAGTGTTGATAAACCTACAATACAATTTCCAGCACATTTAATTTTTTATAGTTGTAGTTTCTAAAGAAATGTAATTTCTTAAAACTTGGAAAGTGTAACATCCTAAATTTAGTAAAAATAAATAAATAAATAAACAAATCTTTGAGTCCAAACAGAGACTACTTTCAGCTAAACAAATTAATTATAAAAAAAAACATGGTTAGTTTGTTAGCTAACCACTGTGGCTTTGCTAAACTAACCATTATTTAACCATGTTATTTGCAGTATTTATAGCTAGAAATAATTAATGAGCCAAAAACACTAGGTTATTCATTCATTTTTTTTCCGGCTTAATCCCTTTTTTAATCCGGGGTTGCCACAGTGGAATGAACCGCCAACTTATCCAGCATATGTTTTACGCAGTGGATGTCCTTCCAGCTGGCAGCAACCCATCTCTGGGAAACATTCATACACACTACGGACAATTTAGCTTACCCAATTCACCTGTACCGCATGTCTTTAGACTATAGGGGGCACCGGACCACCTGGAGGAAACCCACATGAATGTAGGGAGAACATGCAAACTCCACACAGAAACGTCATCTGACTGAACCAGCGACCTTCTTGCTGTGAGGCGACAGCACTATCTACTGCTCCACAGCGTCACCATACGCTAGGTCACATACTTACTAATTTAAATAAGGGAATCATCAAGTGATGCATGAATTGCTGATTTAAGAGCAGCTCTAAATTATGGAACATAAACGAGGCAAAACAGCCAGTCCAACGGCTGTATTTAAACTAAATTTGCTTGTGAAGCAATACATAGTAAATTAGGATTTATGCATAGGTCAGATGCCAATTTTTTCATGACGGATAGTAATCGAAGGATAGTAAGTTTACTGGCATGTTTGTATGTATGCAAACATTAGAGGTTGTATAGCCTTGGCCATAAAAATCTCTGCTTCAGAACGATCAAACTATCTCTGCTTACCACAGAATCATACAAATCTGGCACATGTGCATGATGTTGGCATTAACAAAGTGCATCAATTTCTTTTAAACACTTTTGACTCAGATCGTCGCCTTCCATACTTAAAATTGAAGCATGTAGATTGCTGAAGAATCTAGATGTGTCAGAGGTCAGAATTTAGACACAGAGCCAGACACACACATTCCCTCAGGAATCATGCACCACTATTTTTAATGCATCTGAAAAACTGATATGTGCTTTTATTTGCATTTTCTCCAGCATGAGATGTCACCTCATTTCAACCATAGACCTATCTATGAAGTAGTTTCCACCAGAACAAATTTGTCCTTCACTTTAATAATTTTACCTCTGTGGCCTTTGTACACACAAGACCTACATTAAATGTGCAATAATATAGTCATATCAGGCATTTCTGTTGACTTATATGCAAATGATGGCAGTCAAACAAAAACAAAAAAAATGTAAAAAGTGCAAAATTTCTTGTTAAATGGCCAGTGTTTTAAGTGTAATGGCTGTTATTGTAAAGCACAATGGAACAAATGACAGGTTCAAAGGTTAAATCCCAGATAAGTCCCCTCAAACATTTCCATCCAACTGCTCAGGCCTCAGGCTCCTTAAAGGTTTTATGAAATGATTTATTATCTGACATGCCTGTCAAGATAGACAGCAATTACGGCACACATAAGAGAGCAGGCCGTGGGCTTCATAATTCACAGGACGGAAAGACTCACGCTTACTCGTTATAATAACCCACAACTCACCTTTTGTGACCTGTTAATGAAATTCAGCAACATTTGCATTGTTCAACCACCCATACGGCCACTTTCAAGTCACACTGTGAAGGATCTTTGCATGCAGTTGTTACATTCATAGATGTGCATAGATGCCACACAAGATGGCTCCAGACAACAATGACACTTAACAGTAAAAAAACATTTATTTTAAGATGCCACTATCAAGCTGCCTTTGGTTGCAAAACCCACCAAGATACATTTAAACTTCTGAATAGATACTAGAATGCTGTTCATATTTTATGTGTACAATCTAAAATATACTGGGGTGTCATAATCTAACTTTAGGGGTCAAATATGGAGAAACCCATCATGGGGTATTTTTTTCAATTCATTATGGTGGCTTGAGAAAGCCAACTGTTTAACTACATACACCTTATTATTCTTTCGTCTTCTTAGACTATTGTAAAAACTCCACACCTCCAAATTATAGCTACTGATATAAGTTGCAATATCTTTTCCAACTGATCTGACTTTCGGTTTTTTCGAAAATTGTCCTGGAAAGTCCCATAAACATACTAACAATATACAAATCCATACTAAAAACACACTAAAAACATACTAGCAACATGCTAATTCATACTAAATTTATTTTAACAACATACAAGTTTATACTAAAAACTTGCTAGCAACATGCTACTTCATACTGGAACCATGCAATACACATGCTAATTTATGCTAAAACATGCTAATTCATACTAGAACTATGGTAATTTATGTTAGTAACTACCTAGCAACTACTTAGAACACATTAGCAACTACCCAGCAACACCTAGCAACCACCTAACAACCACTCAGAACACCCTAGAAACCACCTAGCAACACCTTAGCAACCACCTAGAACACCTTAGCAGCTGCCAAGCAACACCTTACCAACTACTCACAACACCCTAACAACCACCTAGCAACAGCTCAGCAATGACCTAGAACACCTGCATCATAGCATCCACCTAGCAACATGTCAGCAACCACCTAGCAACCACTCAGAACACTCTAGCAACACCTTAGCAACTACTTAGTATCGCCTTAGCAACTGCCTATAGCAACCAATAAGAATACACCAGCAACACCTTAGTGATGGCCTACTGTAGAACACCTTAGAAACTGCCTAACAACACTTTTAGCAACCACCTAGCAACAGTTTAGCAACCACCTAGCAACACCTTAACAACCACCTTAGCAACTGCCCAGCAACCACTCAAAACACCCTATTGCAACAGCTTAGCAACAACCTGGAACATCCTAGCATCTGCCTAGCAATGCCTTAACAACCACTCAAAACACCCTAGAAACTACCAAGCAACGTCTTGCAACCACATAAAACACCACATAGCAACACCTTAGCAACTGCCTAGCAACCACTCAGAACCCCTTAGCAACCGCCAAGCAACACCTAAGCAACCATTCAAAACACCCTAGCAAGGCCTTAGCGACCATGCAAAACAGCCTAACAACCGCCTAGCACCACATTAGCAACCACTTAGAATGCCCTAACAACCATTCAGAACACCCTAGCAACCACTTAGCAACACCTTAGCAACCGCTCAGTACCCCTTATCAACAGCCTAGCAAGAAACATGCCAATCCATACTAGAAACATGTAACTGTTTCAAACTTCGTAAAAAGTACTTCAGTTATTTAAACTTTAAAACTATTTTAAACTTTCAGACGAGACTTTCTCAAGCCACCATAAAGTTTGTCTACGAACTTTACTTTTCTAGTTTTATGCTACACTTTTTAACCCAACAGTTGTATTTGTCCATATTCGACCCTTCAACAACATTTTAGACTGTTATTCAACATTTAGAGTGTATTAACTTTAATGTTGTGTTAGCTAATGCCTTCACCTTATTGCATTGTGTTTACCAAAATAACTATTGCACATATTAAAATTATCTACATTAATGGATTACTTACACAGCGTACTCTCAAATGCCCCCAGCCTGGTTTACATACAGTATTGTGGCCTATGGAAACAGCTGCTAATGAGGCATCTACAGTATATCTACGGCTACATTCACTTTAAAAATTATTCCAATCCACAAATACTTGACCGTTAAACCACATAGATATATCTGTTTAGGCTGCAGTGCATGCGGCTGGCAGGAGGAGCAGGAAGTGCGTGATGCCAGGTGGAGGAGGAGAATTCAGGTGAAGATTTGCATAGCTCTGTGGCTGTACAGAACACTTTTTCCCATCAGCTACAGTTCGGAAGAGGTTTATCCACAGCACTGAGGAAATTGGGTGAGCAGGATCTCACAGCAAGTCCGAGCGGCACCAGGTAAGGTCAAATGATGTCTCATTTTTGGCTGTTTTATTGTTGTGGTTTGATGTTCTGTTTTGCAAATGTTTAGTTTAGTACATTCAGAATGTGTTAGTAGCACAACTGCATGCATTTTGCTAGTCTTTGCACTCAAATCTACCTAATTCTGTTAAAAAAAGACAACATTTTTCAGTGAGTTTGCAAGCAACTTCTGTTATTTGTCTAGTTGTGGGTTAAAAGTCAGCCTATGACTGACGTTCTGAAATGCCTCTACTGCACATGCAACTTCCAATATTTGGTCATTATACCAATCTGGTTGAGGGTAGAAATCAGCATATACTGTTGCTGAAGACATGAAATGCCTGTGAACTGGCAGTGCTGCTATCAGACGCTTGAGTTTGAGGGATAGTTTACCCAGAAATGTGAATTCTGTCATTATGGTGGCTTGAGAAAGCCAACATACTGTTATACTACAAAACTTCTTCTTCTGAGACTAATTTCTATAAGCATCTCCTCCTAGACCATTCACACTACATCCATCAAACTTTCTCCAAACCTCGAAACTGGTCTGACTCAAGTTACTATATCTTTTCCAACTGAACCGACGTACTGTTTTCCGGAAACTGACCTGGAAAATTTAGAAAAGTCCCATTGACTTAACATTGGACCAAATTTTATGACCTCATAACTATGCGCTAGACTATCATACAGACTTAAGGCTACGCTCATTTAACTCAGACCATCAATCTACCAATCACTGATCACCTTTAAACTCACTAGTCATGCCCTAGCAACCATTTACGGGACCCTGGCAACTGTCCCATAGACTTCAATTGTAAAAAAAAACTGCCATTGACTTTACATTGGACATACTAACGACATACAAACTCATACTAACAATAAACCAATCCATACTAGAAACATACTAATCATACTAGAAACATACTAACAACAAACTATAAACATACAAGTATCAATATTGAAAGTTAACTTTTAACATTTTTTTAAATATATCTTCGTCTGTACACTCAAATGCACTCAAATTCTATTGAAAAATGTCTCAATTTTCCTGGTGAATATACTTTAAACTTCCATCATTTGTTCTTACCTGTCCTGTATGGGTCACAATCACCCTTTAATATCTAAAAAACCTCTAAACTGGCAACCCGTGAGCTTGCATTACACACCTTGTGCTCTCAGATGCATCTGATTCTGTTGAAAAAGTCTCATTGAATTTACATTGAGCTTCTATAATTTGTTTATACCTGTCCGGTTGTGGGTCAAAGTCAGCCTAGTTTTGAAACTCCTCTAATAAACTGGCGGATCTGCTGCCGCTGGGAATGGGTCGTCATGTCAAAGCGCGTCCAATCAGATGTTTCCCTGAGCTCCGCGTGCTGGAGCCTAAATTAGGTCATGATCTTAATAAGTATTGTGGCTCTGAGATTCTCTGAGTGTGTGCAAGCGAGCAGAAGAGGACCTGACAGAGACCAGCCGTTGTGGTTGAGGGGGTGAGGAGCTCGCGCTGGCAGCTGGACAGGTAAGGGCAGCGCAGGGTCAGGGTTTCAGGCTCCTGTGTCGGTCTAGGGTCAGAGTATGGTCATCTGTCACCGTCTTCATTATGTACTCCAGCAATGCTGCAATTTGTTCATTCTCTAGAACGTTCATGCATATTATTGAGAGCATTTCCATCTAGGTTACAGTTTAGTCTCCAAAATAGTTTCACAAAATACATATATGCAAATCAGAGGAGTTGACATTCATGTGTTTGGTGTACAGTGAAGTGCAAACTATCTGAGATGACTAGACTATAGTTTTGCTATATAATAAATGTTTAAAATAATATGATTATATAGAATTTATTTAGGATTATTTGTGTATTTCTTAACTTTTCATATTATTTAATTATTTATTTATTAATATGCAATTAATTGTATAAACTAATTAATATAGGCCTCAGTAAATCTCAATTATATATGTATATCAGCACTAGTGGAAGGTGTACATTGGCTCGTGACCGCAGTCCAAGTACCTTAGTGCCCCCACCAGTGACGCTATACAGCCACATCACACAGCTACGAGATATCATTTCGTCGGTGTAATCGTGTATATAAAATCAAACACGGAGAGCCTCAAAATCCTTTTGTATGAGGAACTACTTTCTTCCGCCATTCATTCACATCTTCAGCTGACAACGGAACAGCAGAAACCGTTGCCAGTTCATCATCGTCATTTTAGAGCTAGTATTTGAATGATTCTGTAGCGTAATGTCTAAAGTGATGACAAAACAGATTATTTTGGTTTCATTTTAAGTATACGTTAAGTCATAACGTATTGGTGATGTATGGAATACTGTTTCTGGGTCCAAACCGCTACTCATTTGAATTAAGAAAATATTTGTTTATGACCATATTCCTATCACACATTAATTTTATATAAAATCATAGTGTACACAACAGTCTCTGGACTTGCTGCATCACAAATACCAAAATTTTAACAACTTATAAAAAATTAATCACTTTCTGGCCATCTAATATTAGGCTCTAATGTTCCTCTGCTTAGTGTGACAGACTGATTGCTGCAAATGTGGTGAATGTCAGAAATTCAACAAAAAATGTAAACAAAATAGGCACTATTTGTATAAATAAACGGCATAGTTGCAAACTAAACAACTACATTCTCGCCTGAAAAGCCTCAAAAGTACGTTATGTTTAGAGCTGTAATCCAGCCATTAAAGTTAGGCCTGATGGGGCCTGAGCCTAACGAGTACATTTTGATTGACAGCTTTTTAAAAGCCCGAACCCGTTTACAGCCCAACATTATTCAACTGTGCGCATGCACACAGCTCTTTTGCCTTTTTTCAAGAATGAGTCCTTTATACGTGTTTTAACATAATTTATTCATAACAAACATATTGACCTTATTCTAAAATGCAGAAGTGCGCCTGTTTTCGCGATTGTTTTAGAACTTCCGATTCAGTCGCTTATGGAAGAAATGACTAGGAATAATAAACGGCAGAAAACGATCAAACTACTTGCTCTACAAACAAATGTTTGCATGACTATACAGACCAAGTAGAATAATATAATATGAAAATATTAGTTTGCAACATTAAGCAGCGTAATGAGCAGTTTTTAACGTCTAAAAATCAATGGAAGTGAATGAGACCGAAAGTCTAAAGCCAAAAAGATGCAAATGGCTGCACCCGCTCGTCGACGAAGAATAAGGTGAACAGGCCACTTAGAGGTTGGAACAAAGAAATAAAATAAGTCTTCTGTAACATTGTAACATCTCAGCATTAAAAATAGACCAAGGTACATACACTTAGCCTTTAAATTGGCCAACACACCAATTAAAATAAGTCTTTCCTAACATACTAAATTGAAATAATTCTAATTTATGACGAATATTTGGCAATAAGGAAATTAAGATAAAGGCTCTGCATGATTTGTTTCGCCACTTCTCTTCACAATCCGGCCTTAAGGCGACGATGAAGCTGAATGAGGTGTGCAAGCCTGAGTCGAGTCCTTCTTGTTTGGGAAAAGATCTTCAGCTCTAATTATGTTGTCCAACAGCTGGAACATTTGTCAAACGGCAGTGAGTTTATTAATCTGCTGTCACTCTAAGTGGGCGGAGTAATACACAAGAGTGAAGAGGCTGTATGAGTGCTATTATTACGGGAATAATGCACGACAATCAGGCAATCAGATTTGAGAACCGGACAGAACTATATATTATAATAAATTATAAGTACATATAAAATAATGTATTGAATTTTAAAAATTTTAATATAAATTTTATTTGAATAATTTTTTATTGATATTTTAGGCAATATATAATATAAATATTACATATTTATTTTATTTAATATCACAAAAATGTAGGTTTGCATTATTAATAAACACATACTGTATTTACGTATAATTATATATATAATATATATATATATATATATACATACAGTTGAAGTCACAACTATTAGCCTCCCTTTGAATTTATTACCCTTTTTTAAATATTTCCCAAATGATGTTTAACAGAGCAAGGAAATTTTCACAGTATGTCAGATATTATTTTTTCTTCTGGAGAAAGTCTTATTTGTTTTATTTCAGACAGAATAAAAGCAGTTTTTAATTTAAAAAAAAAACATTTTAAGGTCAAAATGATTAGCCCACTTAAGCTATATATCTTTTTTCAATAGTCTACAGAACAAACCATCGTTATACAATAACTTGCCTATTTACCCTAACCTGCCTAGTTAACCTAACTACCCTAGTTAAGCCTTTAAATGTCCTTTTAAGCTGTATAAAGGTGTCTTAAAAATATCTAATAAAATATTATTAACTGTCATCATGGCAAATATATAATAAATCATTAGAAATTAGTTATTAAAACTATTATGTTTAGAAAGGTGTTAAAAAAATCTTCTCTCTGTTAAACAGAAATTGGGGAAAAAATAAACAGGGGGGGCTAATCATTCAGGGGGCTAATAAATCTGACTTCAACTGTTTATATACAATCAAATATAATATTTCAATTATTAATAAATACAATTGTTAATATTTCCTAAGTACAAATGTGTGTGAAGTTATAATAAAATGACAAATATTTATATATTATAATTCATAGTAAGTTTTTAGGGAAGTTTATTCATAACTACTGAAATAAATACTAACATATAAATATAAACATGTGAAAAGCATCTGATTCTTCAATATAAACAAAACCTATGACAGACTGCATTACATCACAATGTCACTTGACACTGTGTCACAGGTTTACTCCTTAAGTGAAAAAAACCCATAATAGTTCTTATTCATTTTCATAAGCCTGTATTCTTGGTTAAATACCGTTTTAAATTCCAGATTCTCTCTTTTCTGAGACCCCACAGTGTGTGTTATTAGTGAGACCCCACAGTGTGTGTGCAGTAGTGGCAGGACAGTGACTGGCGCTATAGTGTGCATTTATATATAAGGGCTGTCCGTAAAGTGAACAGTCAGAGTGGACAGAAAGCAGGTCTCCTCTGTGTATCACACGACTATTTATAGTGTGAACAAATCCCAGATATGAACGGAATCCCCTGCTCCTCCACAGCCTAGAGAGAGGAACAGAAAAACAGACAGAGAAGGTGCTGAACAGAACCAGAACCAGACCTCAGAAGACAAGACAAAGACAGAAACAGAAGAGAGAGAGATTGACATTTGTGTCTGACACCAGGGAACAGCACTTTCCTTTTAACACCAGCAGGTATGCAACTTTTGAGGACAGAGGGAAGATGTGTATGTTAGTGTGTGTGTGAAACTATACAGTGCTAAAGGACAAAAAGAAAATGTAGAGGTAATGATGCCATAGAAAGAGACCAATATATCAAAGCATTGACCACTTTCCTGCTAACTTATTTTTTAGGATATATGATGCACGATCTTTTGGTTTTGATTCTGAATTATTTATGAGTTTTGTGATGATGACTTAAGCGAAATCAGGCCTACGTATGAACCTCTGGAACAACACACAGGATTAATTAAGACATTCACTGTATATTTAGACAAGCATCAACATTCTGTGCATGTAAATGAGTTTACTATCTATCTTGTGGTCTATCTGGTGCGGCAGAGTCAGATCACATCTAAACATAGAGCTGTGATGACGTTTGAGGGCTGACATAGTAAACAGTGTCAGTCTGAATGTTAAATCGAATGATTCTTTTACACTGATATACTTCTGAAAGTGAAAAATTCTTGAGAGGTTTGAATGGTCTAGAATGTTTGACGTTTCCGGTAATTGTTGGTTATGTCATGTAAATAAACCGTGTAAATAAGCATCGTGGAAGTCCTTGAACATGTAATATTCAGTTTGAGATTTCAGCGAAACAATAGTGAATTTAGAAATTCAGAAGGTGAATTGCATTTAAGGAACCAAAAAAGATGCTTCATTTCTTTGCAAAGGTAGTATTTTTGATGCTCTGATTAGCTGTTTTTAATCTATAATTAGGCTTCTGACTGATATTTCAGGGCACTGGAGTGTTTTAGGAGGGTATGTTTGTGGAGGTTTGGACAGCTGCCGTAGTGCTCAGCTCTTTGAATAGTAAATTTAGCTCAACAGGATTGACTCCACTTGAAGAACTAGTGTTGATGTGCAAACATCACCCTTGGTTACGGTTGCTAAGGTTGTAAACCTTTCTGTAGAGCTTTTCACAACTGAAATAATACTTCACATTTTACACTGCTCATTATTTAATGAGGAACTAAGTAATCCAGTGTTTTCTTACTTAAGATTTAATACTGTACATTCATAAGTAAGTTAACATAAAGGTTTTATTCTCATATTTACCTGACTGGCATCAAGTTTCTTGAATGGACTTTTTGGATGTATATTGTAAAAAGTGATTAGTTACTTTATTTTTAAAAAGTAAGTAAACTTGTTGTAACTTGGAACTGTTAATTTAACTTTGCTTACATTTTATAACTATGGATGTGGTACATTCATTCATTCATTCATTCATTCATTTTTCTTTCGGCTTAGTCCCTTTATTATTCAAGGGTC